AACAACAACAACAACAACAACAACAACAGATGATGGTTTTGTCATGCTAATTAAGGAACTCTGTAGTCCTGGTGGTGCAAACAGTTCATTTGCTCGCTGCTAACCAAAATGTTGAACGTTCAAGTCTACCCGGAAGAGTCTCAGATGAAAGGCCTGGTGCTCCAATTCCAAAAAACCAGCCACTGAAAATTTTACGGAGGAGCACAATTGTCCTCTAATACATGCAGGGTGGTCACCATGGAATCAGCTCATCAGGAACTCACTGTTCTAAAAGGATGAGTTTACACATGGAAAGCGAATGGATCTTAATACTCCAGTGGTTTGCTTTTAGCCAGCTGAATGGTCAACTGATTTAGCTCCTATAGCCACTGACATCAACCACTGGGCTGGCCACACTTGCTAGATAGCCGGGTCATGGCTGCATGGGTCCTGGACATGGTCTAGGGTCAGCCTACAATGAGAAAGTGGGTGGTTTTTAAAGGCTTTTGGCTACAGATATCATCCCTCATTTGATGAAATAGATATTTTCCTGCCAACTTGGCTCTTTTGCTTAAACCTTGGTGTTTTCCAGTCTGATAATTCTTCAAATTAGATGTTTTATAGAATATAAAATGAATTAGTCTTCCTTTTTTGTCAGCGTTATAAGTTCCATACAGAGTTTGCTCAGGCTGAAAAACATCTGTATTAATCAGATAAACCAAAATCACTGAGCGAGTCTATCCTGTTCATTTTAATGATTTTTCTCCACAGATGACAAAGTACATGATGCTAACAGCTCCCCGAGTTTAGCAAGAAGACTAAAAATTATATTGGATGGGTGGAAGTGCATTATTTAAACTGAAATTCAATTTTTGCAATCAGAAATACTTGCAACTTAATTAATTACAACATGTAGTATTTTGAAATATTGGGGAGATGATCTATCTATTCTATTTCTGCCTTAGATGGTTGAATTAAAATCCTAAATACTACTAAAAGTTTTTAAATGAGAAATTGTTAATTATGATAACACTTTCCCCTGATTAAATAAGGAAAAAAAAAAAAAATTGGGGGCTTTGCCTGAAAGGACATCATTTCAGAAGTCAATTTGGTTTTGACTTTATTAAAGCAGTGAAACGTGGGTGGTTAATCTGACTGAAAGCTGCCATTTTCTAAAAATGCATTTAAACTTAACTGGACAGGTGGTTGCACGGCAGGAGCTATTTAGGATTAGGAAGTAGTTGTGATTTGGATTTAAATGAATGGCACGCTCTTTATGGATTCTTCAACAGTTCATTTGGATCATTTCCATTCCACTGCCAAGTAGAGGGAAGACCTTTCCGCCTAGTTACCCTAACTCAGACGTCAGTCCCCAGAGAACTCAAGCTTGTCCTACAGACACTGGCTTTGCTGGGGATGAGACAGAGCTAACTCAAAACTTTCAGTTGAATTGATCTCCTTTCTGGATACTGTTAAATCACTCCTGCCTCAAGCAGAGGGCTGGTCTTTGCTTCTAAGGAGCCTAAAGGGTGAATTATTTACTAAATTGTCCATAAGGTTTTTGCCTCTTCAAGAGGACTTTATTATTCTCTCTCTTAGCTACAAATCATGCCATTCAGATGCTTTTGAAAGCTTCTCTTCATACTCTTGCTTGAGTCATAAAACTTGATACGTTGGACCAAATACCTTTATCCCCCAAGAAGGGTGAAGATGATGAAAAGGCAGTAATTCTAGGCATGCTGCCACTCAAAGCAGATGATTGGCCAGAAAACTTGGGCAGAGGAGACAGTTAGTATACAATACAGGCTTTCTTGACCTGGTAGTCCGCTCTGAAATGAATCTTACAATTTTGGATCTAATCAGCAACCTTCTGAAACCTGAATGAACTACTTCAAAAACATCAGGCTTAAATCAACACCACTGATAGGATTGCTGACATTACCTTTAAGACTGGGATTTGAGATGTTGTGAATTTCAGTATAATAGCCACTCACCTGGAGAAGGTTTACTGGGACCTGCTTTTTCTGGTTTCTTTGGAGTCATGGTACTTTTGTGTTTCTGCTTGACAGATGTTTGGTCAATTGCTGGAAGTTTGGAATCACATTTAACTGAGGATGTCTTGGCAGTTAATCTTGGTTCAGCAAGAGGGTCCTCCTCACCAGAACTCTACAGAAAATGAAAGGTGTCTCAGTATCAATGGCCAAGTATATCACCTTCAGTAGACAGGAAAAAACCAAGAGGTAGAGAGAATGACCCCTGACCCCTCCAGCAATAATATTAGGGCATCCTGTGATGCTGAATGTGTCCTTTTGACAGGGAGGTTTTGATGGACAGGGCATCTCTACTTAGAAATAACAAAAAAGTTAATGTGCTTACTTGTAGAGCCTTACAAAAACCATGCATTTCTGACTCTTAAGGGATTTGGTAGCCAAAAACAGCTCATGGGGAAAGTTACATAAGAAAGAAGGAGAAACAATCAGTAGACTCCACTGTTTGCTGTTTGAACTGTTTTGGGGGGTTGTAGGGGGAAATCATTTATGTTCATCATATATGTCGTAATGAAAAGGAAATTTGGTGTGGTGGGGAATAAGTAAATCAGATCTAAGTTTCAATACTCTGCATTATTGGATGTAACATAAGACGTTAAAAGTCCCAACTTGTCAGTCTATAAAGAAGTCAGTGTAAATCTTGTTGATGTTAAGTGCCTTTGAGTCACTTCCAACTCATAGCGACCCCGTATAGGGTTTCTGAGGCTTTAAGTTTTTGCGAGAGCAGAAAGCCTCATCTTTCTCCCATAGGACAGCTTTAACTGCCAACTTTGTGGCTCGCAGTCCAGAGATTACTATACAGGCCTATTATAATCCTTAGTGTAAATCTACAGGACGACAAATGATGATCCTGCCATGTTACAATATTTTATCACATCCTTTGATGGTTGTTGTTAGGTGCCATCAAGGCCATTCTGACTCATAGCAACCCTATGCACCACAGAACGAAACCGTGCCTGGTCCTGTGCCATCCTCACAATTGTTGTTAAGCTTGAACCCATTACTACTGCCACTGTATCAGTCCATCTCATGACAGGTTTTCCTCTATTTCACTGACCCTCCACCTTACCTAGCATGATGTTCTTCTCCAGGGATTGGTCCCTCCTGACAATATGTCTGAAGTATGAAAGAGGAAGTTTTGCCATCCTGGCTTCCAAGGAATAGTATGGTTGTACTTCTTCCAACACAGATTTGTTTGTTCTTCTAGCAATCCATGGCACTCTTAATATTCTTCTCTAACACTATAACTCAAATGTATCAGTTCTCCTATGGTCTTCCTTAGTCACTGTCCAACTTTCACATATATATGAGGCTATTTAAAATACCATGACTTGGATGAGATGCACCTTAGTCTTTGAGCTGACATCTCTGCTCTTGAACACTTTAAAGAAGTCTCGTGCAGCAGATTTGCCTAATGCAATACATCATACAGTTGCTGGCTGAACTCGCTCAGCATTTCTCAAGCTGGAGGAACTGAAGAAAAAATTCAAGCCTCGATTTGCATTATTTAAAGATTCTCTGGGAAAATTATTGAATGATGAAGAAAGCATCAAAAGAAGATGGAAGAAATACACAGAGTTACTGTACCAAAAGGAAATGGTTGATGTTCAACCATTTCATGAGATAGCATATAATCAAGAGCCAATGATACTGAAGGAGTAAGTCCAAGGTGCATTCAAGGAATTGGCAAAGAACAAGGCACCAGGAATTGATGGAATAAAAATGGAAATATTTTAAGAAAGTGAGGTGGCACAGGAGACACTCACTCATCTCTTCCAAGAAATTTGGAAGACAAACTATGTGGCCAAATGATTGGAAGAGATCGTATTTGTGCCCATTCCAAAGAGAAGTGACCCAATGGAATGTGGAACTCATTGGATAATCTCTTTGATATCCCAGGCAAGTAAAGTTTTACTAAAGATAATACAGAAATGGCTGCAAGCATACATTGACAGAGAACTCCCAGAGGTTCAAATCGGATTCAGAAGAGGCTGTGGAATGAGGGGTATTATTACTGATGTCTGATGGATCTTGGCTGAAAGCAGAGAATATCAGAAAGATGTTTACCTGTGCTTTATTGACTACACAAAGGCTTTCAATTGTGTGGATCATGACAAGCTATGGACAATATTGCAAAGTATGAGATTCCAGAACACTAAATTGTGCTCATGAGGAATCTGTACATGAACCAAGAAACAGTTGTTTGAACAGAACATGGGAATGCTGAATGGTTTAAAATTAAGAAAGGTGTGCAACAAGGTTCTATTCTTTCACTATCCTTATTCAACCTGTATGCTGAACAAATCATCCAAGAAGCTGGGTTACATGAAGGAAAATGTGGCATCAGGATTGGAGGAAGACTCATTAACAACCTGCCATATGCCAATGATACAACCTTGCTTGCTGAAAGTGAAGAGGACTTAAAATATTAACTGATGAAGATCAAAGAGCACAGCTTTCGGTATGGATTGCATCTCAGTGTAAAGAAAACAAAAATCCTCACCAATAAACCAATCAATAACATTCTTTTCAATGGAGAAAAGATTGAAGTTGTCAAGGACTTCCTTCTTCTTGGATCAACTAGCAACACTCACGGAAGCAACAGTCAAGAAATCAAATGACATATTGCATTAGGCAAACGTGCTGCATTATTTTAACACTTTTTAAAGTGTTGAAGAACAAATATGTCAGCTTGAGGACTAAGGTGTGCCTGGCCCAAGCCATAATATTTTCAATAACCTCATATGCATACAAAAGCTGGACAGTGAATAAGGAAGACTGTAGAAAAATTCATGCTTTTGAGTTATGGTGTTGGAGGAGGATATTGAAAGTGTCATGGGCTGCTAAAAGAACCAACAGATCCGTTTTGGAAGCAGTGCAGCTACAGTGCTCCTTAGAGGCTAGGATGGCCAAACTCCGTCTCTCATACTTTGGACATATTGTCAAGAGGGACCAGTCACTGGAGAAGGATATCATGTTTGGTAAGGTGGAGGGTCAGAGAAAAAGAGGAAGACCCCCAGCGAGATGGATCAACAAAGTGGCAGCATCAATGGGCTCAAGTGTGGCAACAGTAGTGAGGTTGGCCCAGGATCGGGCAGTGTTTAGTTCTGCTGTGCATAAGGTCGCTATGATTCGGTACTGACTTGATGGCATCTAACAACAACAATATGTCATTTGATTTCTTGACTGCTGCTTCCAAGCAAAATGAAGTGTTGATGGTAGGTCCAAGGAAAATAAAGTCTTTGACAACTTCAATCTTTTCTCCATTTATCATAATGTTATTTATTGGTCCAATGGTGAGGATTTTTGTTTCCTTTACATTGAGGTGCAATCCATACTGAAGGCCATGGTTTTTTATCTTCATCAGTAAATATTTAAAGTCTTCCTCACTTTCATTCTGTTATGCATAGAGTTGCTATGAATCAGTGCTGACTCGATGACACCTAACAACAACAATGAGTCAGAACCAACTTACCAGCAATGGGTTTGGGTTTGGGTTTGGGTTTGGGTTTTGTTTCTTGTTTGGGTATACCCACCAAAGAAATGATGAAAATAACACAAATGGCTATCAGAAACCTGGTCCTAAAGTGTGACTTAAGGGAGTACAGTGGCTCCGTACAATAAGCATTGGACTATGAATCAAAAGGTCTGTGGTTCAAGCCCACCAATTGCTCCATGGGAGAAAGTTGAGATTTTTCAGTCCTGTGAAGATTTCTCAGAAACCCTATACAGGGTCTCTATGAGTTGGAACCAAGTCGATGGCACTTAACAGTAACAACAACAACAACAACAGACGGTAATTTAAGCCGAATTTTACTGTCTTAGATCCTGATGTTAGTCTGATGTGCTAGGCTCTAGTTACATATACTGCAACTAACACCCTCGGGGGGTGTCCCTAAGTTTTTAAACATTGCACCTCTCCACTCAAAACAAACCCCAGCTGCCATTGCTCCATGATAAAGCCATGTATTGCAGAGTAGAAATGTATTCCATAGAGTTTTCAAGCAGGTCACCAGTACTTTCTTCTGAGGTGCCTCTGGGTACCTAAACTGTTTGAGGCAGCTGGAGACTCCTTACACTGCCATCAACACTGTAGTGGAATGCTAAATTAATGTCCCCTGCACTACCACCGCCGCCCGACCTCGGCAACTGTTGTTGCAATTTGTATAGATCTTGCTTATTCTTTGCGTTGACAGTTGTGGCATTTTCATTTCATAGGCTGCTGACTCAGGAAAATACTCAGAATAGCTTTGAATTATTGGGCACAGCATAATACAAACTAGGCTGTAAGAGAAGCCCCCTATTTGCCAGTCTTCTATAAAGAAGTCAGTGTAAATCTATAGGGGGACAGATCATTATTCTTCTGAGATTATATAGTTTGCAATTTAGAATCTGGATATGTTTTTGTTGTTAGGTGTCATCCAGTTGGCTTGGACTTACAGTGACCCCCCTCTGCACAAAAGAATGAAGCAGTGCCTGGTCCTGTGCCATCCTCACAACCTTGTTATGTTTCAGCCCGTTATTGCAGTCACTATGCCAATTCATCATGTTGGGGGTCTTCCTCTTTTCTACTGACCTTCCACTTTAGCAAGCATGATGTCCTTTTCCAGGGACTAGACCCTCCTGATAACATGTCCAAAGTACGTTGAGACCAAGTTTTGTCATCCACGCTTCCAAGGAGCATTTTAGCTGTACTTCTTCAAAAACAGATTTATTTCTCTGGTAGTACATTGTTGTTGTTATGTGCCATAGAGTTGGTACCGACTCATAGCGACCCTACGCACAACAGAACGAAACACTGCCCGATCCTGGGCCAACCTCACTATTGTTGCAACGCTTGAGCCCATTGATGCTGCCACTTTGCCAATCCATCTCTCTGGGGGTCTTCCTCTTTTTCTCTGACACTCCACTTTACCAAACATGATATCCTTCTCCAGCAACTG